ACTACAAGGCTTGAGACAGAAAGCAGTCTCTATCCCCAGCATGTTACACAAGGGCCTGATTCTAACCCACCTACACACAGCGAGTCAAAACTCAACTCCCACTAGCTGTGGAGTAAGGTGCGATCCAGTGAGAGCGCAAGCGGCTAAAAAAACAACAGCCCCCAAACAAATAAACAAAGTATCATCCAGAAACAAATACCAACTGATAGAGGCCAGGAAGCAGCAAAGCCGTCAAGAAAAAGCCTCAGAGACCAGCTCCCTGGGATGTGAGGAAAGGGGTAGGGGCTTTGTGCAGAAAAGTAGAACAACACAGGCTGACACAGCGATCTACTTCAGGAATTTCTTACACAAGATAGGCAAACCACTCAGCCCCCTGCACCTCCTCTCCTCCAATAAAATCAGAATTACAGCACTGTCCTAACTCCAGAGGCTGTAGGAAGGACTGAAAATTGCCAGGTACTCAGTCATCAGCGCAATGCGGGGGCAATGTACCTCCTCTGACAGAAAAGATATATTATATTTAAAACTGTGCTTAAGCAAGTGTTCACCAACCCCCCTACTCCTCCCCTGCACAGCCAGGTACAGCTGCACAGCACTGCTGTTCTGGTAAATCAGGCTTTCTTGCACACCAGACAGCCAAGGTTGACTTGCAGCTACACACGCCACATCCTTTTAGCTTCTGCGCCCGTGTTTGTGAACCTGTGGCACATGAAGCCATCACCTGAGGCATATGAGGTACCTAATGCACACCTACCTGCCCTCCCAATCCTTGCTCAGGGATGCTGTGAGCAAATTAAGCTTAAAGCCAAGAGTACCTGAGGGTTTCAATAATGTAGCTGCCATCCCTACCCTCAAAAAACAGCTTTAAAGGTTATGAGAGTGGAGGGCTACAGAGAAGATTCGGCACAAAACCGGGTGACGGGATTTAGAACTGTGGAAAAAAAATTTCAAATGGGGCAGAGGAGAGCGCAACAACAGAAAAAAATGAGGAGCTGCACTGCTAGAATAGCCAGAAGGGCAAAGAAACCCAGACACCCAGATTTTCAAGACTCCATGTCCAAAATGCCTTACCATACACATTACAGCTGCCGATTCCAAGCTCTGCAGGCAACCTGCTACCGGACTGTAGATGTCTGAAAGGCCTTTGGGAAGCAGCCTCAGACACAAGGGAGGATAATGGGAAGAGAGGAAAATGAAAGGAAAAAGAAACTGGATGAAGATCAAACCCTCCCCCATGGAACTGAGCAATAGCCTCTTTGAGTGCCCTTAACAACATGGGCCTCCCGGGAGAGCTGAGGGCTCCTAGTGCTGCTGGGAGGGTGCTTGGCATTTCCCCAGGACCAGACCAAAAAAATAACAAGCTTTTCTACATGCCCTAGAATCTAAATAAAAACAAAACACAAATGACAATCTAATATTGTAACATAATTTCAGATTCTGTTATAAATCTTAACTTCATTAAACTGATTGTATTATGGGGGGGAAAAAAAAATCATTTAGCATCCCTGCTGTTTATTTTATTTCCT